ATTGCATATATATTTTGGTGCCTTTTCAAGTATAAAATCCATTGAGAAATGAAAGAAAACGGCATCCCTATTATTTCAACTTATGCCACACGTTTTCAATATGAAAGACAAAAAACGTAAACGAGCAATTTCTGAATAAAAAACTGTTTATCCACAAAGATGTTTGAATGGAAGCATCAGACATTCGAAAAAATAGCAAACCGCAAGGCTTTATTGGCAGTAGGTCCTTTTTAAATCACATTAAAAATAAAATAAGAATATAGTTTCGAAGTTGGCACAAAATGAAATTTTTTTGCATGTTGCTCACAAAAAAAATACTTGCCAAGTATATAAGTCAAAATTGTTAAATATATATCGCTTTCATTCATTTCTTGATAGCGTTGGTGCTTCTTTTATAGGAAAATTCATACGGCTTATGAACAGATTCATACCATGTAAATGCACCATTACGCTTGTGTTATTTATTGCTAGCCTTGCAGCCAGTTTCACCAAACTATTTAAGTGGAAATTAACTTTCATTTAATTTTTTATTTAAATCTCATTTAAATTATTTTAAGTTTCAATAAACTATTTATTTAAGTGAGTAAAAAGTGGTTGTAAAACAGACTAGAGCAGCGAAAGCTTTCATTTGTACTAAGAGCTTTTGAAAGCTTTGGCACTCTGTGTTGTAAAAGCAGGGATGGTATACCAGTAAGCAGCAGATACACAATGATCAGGTAATTAACCGTGTAACACCTCTGAATGTGGTTATTCTGATTTAATTTTTATTTAAGTGAAGAGCATAGGTCACTTAAATAAAAATTGATTGGTGAAACCAAAAATTCGAAAATCAAACTTAAATGAATCTGGTGAAACTGGCTGTTAGTAACAGCTTTTCGTCACTCTTACATTAGATTCGACTCTTAACAGGCCTATTCTGCGTTGGTAACAAAAAATTTGTTACCCGTAAATAAAGTTTCTGGTAATTTTTAAACCCTTTCTGCATTCTGCGCACTGGTAAATTTTGTTACCACCTCATAAGCAGGTAACAAAATATTGCCCCGAAAAGTATGCAACACCAGAATTTATACAAAACCTCATAGCTGAATTGCTGAATAGATTAAATTTTTACCAAGGTACTTAGAATTGCGGTTACAAGAAGTGGTGTTATTAGGTGCGTTCGACAAGTCAAAAATTTGTAATAGTTTTTCAAAATTTTTACTGGATGGCGTTCGATAACGACAAAAAATTATCCAACACACATAAAATTGAGAGAGCAAGCGTTCATTTTGATGCAAGAGAAGCGTTNTCC